GCCACTCAGAAGTAGAAGGGGCATCTTGGGTGGAAGGTCCTCATTACTGGTGACATATATATGTACATGTTCACCTATGAAGGCCACTAGAGGCACTTTGACAACCCAGAGAAGTAGGAACAAGATGTCTCCTCTGGTCCTTTTCAGGCTGAGAGTCATGGGTTGGAGTCATGGCAGAGGACATCCCTAGGCAGCAGGAAGGACAGGGACCCCAGGAGTCCCAGCAAGGGACCTTACAGAGGTAAAGGGAAGGACACCAGTTTTCTCCCTTGAAAAAACCTTCCTGGGAGCAGAGGCAGGGCTTCTTACAAATCTCTTCCTCAGATTTTGAAATATATCTTCTCTCTCCAAAAATCTTTTTCCTGGGCTGGGGTTGTGGCTCAGAAGTAGAGCGTTCACCTAGCATGTATGGAGCCCTGGGTTCAATCCTCAGCACCACATAAAAATAAATAAATAAAGGCATTGTGTCCAACTACAACTAAAAAAATAAATATTTTTTAAAAAGAATCTTTTTTCTATTTCCAGGGAAAACCAGGTTTCAAGACCACCCAGCTGCAAGAGGTTAGTGTTCTTGGCTTGAATCAGGAATTGCGGGCCTGTCCCTCTAATTCCATTAACTGTCTAAACATGGCTAGTGCTTTAGGAAGTAGAGCAGCCTCTGGATGCATCAGGAGATGGAGGCAGAAAGATGATCTGGTAACATTGGTCAGAAGTCATGAAATGATCCTGGGGAAAATGTTCTTTTATGTTTGGGTATTGAAAAAAAAAAGTTGCAGGAATAAATATCCTTTAGTTGCTTTGCAAACTTGAATGTGCACAGGAAGCACCTGGACTTCTTAAGAAAATGCCGAGATTCTGGCTAGCAGACTGGGGTGGGGCCTGAGCACCTGCTTCTAACAGGTTCTGCTGGTTGGGGCCACACTCTGAGTGATCAAGTGTGGGCTGGCAGAGCCCAGCTCACATAGAGAATTTTCTTTCAGTCTATCCACATTAAGATGCTTCCTTTTGGGTACAAATGTTGCTGCTGAAGATGATTCTGATGTCCGGTGGAGGCATTCCATGGCCTAGAGAAGAAAAGAGAGGCACAAGGGACAGGGTGGTTGGGTGGAGGTGGCAGCTACAAATCCAGGTGAGAAAGAGATTCGTGGATCCAGGAAGGAAGGTGAAACTAAGAAAGAATGACAGACACATTTCTCAGTGTGGCCTGGCAACCTGCAACAGGAATCGGGTACCCTTTAAGTCTCTTCCAACCCTGAGAAGATGCCCATCTAATCTTCCAGGCCCTTCCTTCCACATTCATGATGGTATTTGACTTTAGCTTATACTGTAGGACCCTAGGTCCAGAGCTTACCTCCCCTGCAAGATAGACCTGGGGGCAGGGCCACCCGTCCCCAGCAGAGCCTGTAACAGAACAAATGCATACGAATATTTACTAGCTTGCATTCTATGCAACCTAGCAGAACAAACTTCTATAGAAACCACAAATGTGAGAGCTGAACCCTTCTGCAAGATCTAATTGAGTAGCGGGTTTCCTGTCTTTTGAAGGCTTAGCATGATATAAATAAATTGTTTACTTATTGTTGAGTGGCTTCTTTGATGCACAGATGGTAGGAGGTTGATGAGGAGGGTCATTTTCTCCCCAGACTTGCTCTTTTCTTCCTTGGCTGTGTCTTTGATCCTGGCACCAGGAAGTACTAGAGTAACAGACCCTCACGGTATGTTCCGTTATGGCTGAACCTGTACACATGACATTTAGAAAGCAAATCCGCTTCCCTGCTCAGTGACAGATTTGTCTAATATAATAGCTCTACAGAGAGTGACCACATGGAGGACATCTATCTTTCTAAAAGATTACTTATTTCTAAAAGGGCATAGAGTATGTCAAGTGGCATGAGTGCCGTTATAGATCCATCCATCTAGCCAGTTGTGGACATTTATTTAAAGCAATGAGATGCACAGAGACCAGGCCACTTGCTCACAGGCACATGGGAGGGCAGCCTCGGGAGGAGATTGCATGCAGGACTTCTCTCCTGGCCCTTTGCTTGTCCTCCCAAGTCCAGCTACCTGTAAGCATTGCCCAACACTGGTTGGGAGAGGTGCACCCTGTTTCCCATCTCAGAAGGCTGACTACACCAAGTGGATTTCACCTGGGCCACCTCTAGCAAAGAGGTCAGGGAACCAACCAAACCCCAGCCCCCTTCAGTGAGGCTGCAGTGGAAACCGCACTCCAGAGAGGTCCATTCTCTCTCCTCCTTCTGGGTTCACCTTTGTGCCATGGCAACACTGGTCACAGGCAGGCAGAGCCGGCATCCAATCGCCTGGAGAACTTTATCATCTTTAAAACCCCACCTCACCAGACATGAGGCCCTGTTGGACCTGGTATTTTAAATAATATAAGAAATGGCAGAGCAGGAAGAAAGAAGTGAAGGGGAAGTTGTTGACTCGTGAGTACAGAGTTTCTGTTTTACAAGATGAAAAGAGTTCTGGACATAGTCAGAGGTGATGGGTGCATAACGTTAGGAATGTCATTAATACCACTGAACAGCACTTTTAAAAATAATCAACACAGGCCAGGCATGGTGGCATATGCCTGTAGTCCCAGCAGCTTGAGGGGAGGCTGAGGCAGGAAGATTGAAAGTTCAAAGCCAGCCTCAGTGACTTATGAGACCCTGAGCAACTTAGTGAGACTCTGTCTCAAAATTAAAAAAAATAAAAAAATAAACAGGCTGGGGATGTGGCTCAGTGGCTAATCGCCTCTGGGTTCAATCCTTGGTACCAAAACAACAGTAACAAAAAAGTCAACATGGGCTTTTGGGTGAAGTGGCAGATGTTATGTTGTTTTGCTCCCATTAGTGGTGTGATGGGTAAAATAAATAAAATTGGTTAAGGTGGTAAATTTGATGTTTCACATATTTTGCCACCATAAATATTTGGGGTAGGGGAGGAACTGAAATAAGCTTTCCTGGAAGAAGAAAGAAAAGAAGTGATGGAAGGCATTTTAGTCCAGGTCCCCTTGCAGCTGCTGGTCTTGCAGTGAGAGCTCACAGGACTGGGACACTGGGGCGGAGCTTTGTTCTTTCTGTCACAGCCAGGGGCCACACAGACAAAAGGAGCTCTCTGGATCTCCAGCTGAGCAGGGGGGAAAGGGGGTCACTTGCAAAGGAGAATAAATTGTCAGTGGCAAGTTCAGGTCTTAAGAATCCTTGCAGAAGGTTTTGATGGAAAGGTTAAAGAAGAGTGCACAAGTCCTGCAGCAAATACCAAAGCCTGCACTTATTTTCTGACACCCAGGACCAGCAGAAGCCCAGAGCCCTCAGAGTGTGGAATAGAGGGGTGGAATTGGGGTGTGCTTGCATGGAGGGTCAAGTCCTAGTGCTCCCACATGCACTGGGGAAAGCCATCGGTTGTGCGTTCAACCATATCTTTCAATAAATTATGATGTCTGTACATATGTTAAAACATTGAGCTAAAAGGGAAAAACACAATCTCTCTCTCTCTCCCTCTCTATCTCTCACTACTGAGCCAGTCCTTTATTTTATTTTGAGACAGGTCCTTGCTAAGTTACTTAGAGTCTCAGTTGGCTTTGAACTTTTTTTTTTTCTTTTGGTACCAGGGATTGAACCCAGGGATGCTTAACCACTGAGCCACATCCCCTGTCCTATTTTGAATTTATTTAGAGACAGGGTCTCACTGAGTTACTTAGTGCCTTGCTTTTGCTGAGGCTGGCTTTGAACTCATGATACTCCTGCCTCAGACTCCAAGCTGCTGAAATTACAGACATGAGTCGCTGTACCTATCAACAATCCCTCTCTTTTTTTTAAGGACCTCCAGAGGAAAGCCTGAGCTTTGTAGAATTTGAAACATATTTTTACTATATCCAATAATTTATTGAATCCCACTTCATTGTAAAAGGCTAAGGTTACAATCTTAGAGATCAAGGAAGTTATTTACTCAGTACTCGTAGTTTAATGAAGTTGTTTTAATTGCTCAAGGCTCTTACATCTGAGATAGAGCATATGATATTGAATCATGTTAACTACCTTGATATCAGAAAATATCAATAGTCAAATAAAACAAAAAGATGAAATATTCTTCTTTTCCAACATTTCATGTAAAATAATTTTGTATATTTTTTTTAAATTTTTTTTAGTTGTAAATGGATCTTTTATTTTATTTATTTATATGTGGTGCTGAGGATTGAACCCAGGGCCTCACACATGCCACTGAGCCACAACTCCAGCTCTCATTTTGTATATTAAAAATGCAAACACCCAAGACTCTAGGAGCAGAATGAGGATGATAGCGAATGTCCAGTGTACTTTCTGTTTGTGAGCGCTCCTTCTATGAAGGAGTGTGGAGGAGAAAAAGAGCCTATAAAAGAGGCCAAGTTGTAAATTGTGCAACAATCTGAGTAGAATGATGAAATATCACACTGTCCCACCCTGTCCCACCTGGGAGGTAAATCATCTCTTTGTCTAGCGTATCCACACTGTATATGCTACCAGCCCATTAGGCACTTAGTAGCCATCAGAGTTTTCAGAACAGTAGTGCAGTATTGTGGTGCTATGTTCAAACCATTATGTAGTAGCCTTATGGTACATCACAATGCCAGTGTCATTCACCTCACTTCTTCTCGTCATGTATGTATTTTATCCTGTCACATCAGCACAAGAAGGGTGAGTACAGTACAATACAATTTTGAGAGGGAGATGAGAAAGAGGAAAACTACATTCCAATAACCTTCAATATGTTATTATATTAGTTTATTATTCTATCTTTATTATTGCTGTTAATCTCTTTTTTATTAATTTCTTTCAGATGTTGGTAGATTTTTATTTATATGTTTATTTTTATTTATATGCTGGGAATCGAACCCAGTGCCTCACACATGCCAGGCAAGTGCTCTACCACTGAACCCCAGCCCCACCCAGCCCTGTTGTTAATCTCTTATTGTGCCTAACTTATAAATTAAAATTTATCATGGGTATGTACTCATCGGGAAAACAGTATGTGCGGCACATGGCACTGTCTGTGGTTTCAGGATCCATATGGATCATGGAATGGATGTCTCCCAGATATGGGGGACTACTGTACAGAAGTACTGTGAGGCTTCCTCAAAGTCAGGATGTCCATTTAGAGCTGAAACTTGTAAGGTGTCTTCTATTTTGAACCGTTTCGAAAGGACCACTTTTAATTTCCCAAAGTTTATAAAAGACCCCAAAGCATGGGGGCTGTTTAGGAAACAGAGCCAACTGTGTGTGGGGGGGGTCACACCGGGGGGTCCCACCCACATTTGCCTTCCCCTGCTTCTGCAGAGTTCCTGTGAGCCTTGGGGTAGAGGCTTGGCAAAGCTGCAAGATGACAGGGAAGGTGGCCGTGGACCCTGCTCTCCTTTTGACACTGAAAGTGCATTTGTTATTCCAAACTGCCAACTCAAAATTGCCTTTGTTTCACATTTTCAAAGGGGGGGTGGAAATCAATCTATAGCTTAGAATAAAGTCTTATGTAAACCAGAAACATCCGGGAGGACGAAAGAAGTTCAGGTGTCAGGAGTGAAAATTATGATTGGTTTCTGTGCATCTCATTAGGGAAGAAAAGGTACAAATGTACTTAAGTGGACCGGAGGGGGTCAAGGCTGATCCTAAGGCTGAGCCATCTGAGCTAGAGACAAGCTCTAAGAGAAAATCTATACTGGCCAGAGACCAAGTTAATGGAAAATTTAATTGAGGCGAATGAAATGCTCAGCCTCTTGGTTGTGTGGCTGGGTGCCCTTTGAACCAGGAAGGCTGGGCCAAGAGGCCACAGAGGGCCCTAAGGGGGAAAAAAAAAAAGAGGCGCTTATCTGCACAAACAAGGGGCGGGACTGAGCCCGGGAAAAGAAAATCAGAGCCTCCAACGGAGCCTCAGCCAGAGGCTGCACCAGGAAGGAGGAAATCTGGCTTCTGCCACCAAGAAGTCCCCTCGAGGTCCACGGCAGAAGGCCCCGCAGCTCCAAGCGGGTGCTGGGAACCAGCAGTCACCAGAGGAGTGTGGCTGAGGCTGCCTGGTGGCAGGGACAGGAGCGCCCAGGTAGGAATGGAGGCACCTGCTTCTGGGTTGAGTGGAAGAGGTGTGGCTCCAGGACACCTGCTTCCTCCTGCCCTTGCCTCTGTTTGCTTCTCTCCTTGCAGGTCCCCTGTCCTGTGCCCAGGAACCTCCGGGGCTGTGCTCTCTAGGTGGTGGCACCTGGCTAGCATCGGGTGATAGTTACTCACAGCTCTTGGAATCTGCCAACCGTTTTGCTGCCTTTTCTAAGGTGGGCTTCAGGGCTGGGGGTCTGTGCTGTCACTGCCACCACCCCTGGATCACAGGAGGAGCCCTCTGGAAATAGACCAGAGTCTGGGCGGGCCATGGGCTGGCTGCGTTGAGCAGCCCTGCTAAGGGTCAGGCCATCGATCCCGGGAAGGGCCGTGCTCCTGGCCTGGGGGAAGTGGCAGTGATGGCCACAGGAGGAGGGCTTGCTCTGCGCAGCTTCCCCCTCCACTGGGGGATTATAACTGAAGGGGGAGGTCAGTGGGGGAGGGGGAGGCGTATGTGAGTGAGAGGAAGAGGGAAAGCGTTAGAAATGGGGAAGAATAGTGTCGAAGACTCTGGAATGTTTTGGTGATGATTGGCTAAAATAGTATGATGGGAGAATAATTTTGCAATTGGTGATATTATTCCATTTCAGGGCTTCACCTGATTAGAGAATAAAAGCAAAGTGCCAGTTTAATTTTTTAAAAGACGGCTCCCTTCTGTGTGAGTGGTCAAGTCTGCATGCCGATTGCTACCTTTATTTATTTTGTTCATTTAGTTTCTCTTTTCTTTTTTAATGTGGTGCTGGGGATCAGACCCAGTGCCTCACATGTGCTAGGCAAGTGCTCTGCCACTGAGCCCCAACTGCAGGCGCTCTGGGTGCCAATTGTGAAGAGGAGTTAAGCTTGGTCCGGAGGGCTGGAGGTTTATAGGCTGGGGATATTCCCTCCCAGCTTGGGGACTTCCACTCTCTCTGCCCTTGGATTTCTCCTTCCTGCCCCTCTTACCCTTTGGAAGTTCCCTGCATCCCATGTGGGCCACCCCCGCTCTCCAGCCAGCAAAATAGACCTCCATTCCTGGAGGTCCATCCCCACTTTCTACTCGGGATATTGCAGGGGGAGGGAGGCAGGGGGGACACCCCACTCCAGGAACCCTGGAACCCTGTTCCCCAAACAGGGAGGTTGTGACTCCTGAGCACACGGGTGTCCCAGGAGGCTCCGGTGGGTTTGAAGTGCTGTGAGTGCTCTTTGGCCTCACGGATAGGCACACTTTACACAGAGCAGTCCACCGGTGAGCAATGATGACAAAGAAAGGCCAGGCTCTCCCGAAGGTTCTCAAGTCACTGAACCCTGAAATGTGGCGGATTTCTGTGCACGGGGACACTTGCATGAGGTCTATTTAAGCATGCTCTCTCTTGTGATCCTGCAAAAGGCAGATTCTTCCTTGCTTCTTTTTTCCTGGAGGAAAGATGGGATGCTTTGTAGGCTGCATTCTTAGTCTTCTGGTTGACGCAGGGATTGCAAGAGAAAGGCTCCCGCTGACCCTGCCTTGCTCAGCCAGCGTTTTCCACAGCAGTTAAATGGCCTTCTATGGAGCCATTCTGGATCCTTCCAGGGGGAGAGGTCTAGGGAGACAGTACGGCTTATTTCAGATGAGAGGGTCTTGTAAGGATCTGGGAGGAAATGACTTCGAACATCCTGACCTGTCAGCCCTGTGGTTTTTGAGGAGCCTGTGTGTGGAATCTGGATTCTCCATGGGTGCTGGTGCTGGATGATTCCAGGTCTGTTGGCCCCATCTGGTGTTCAGTCTCCAGTCAGCCACAGAACCGCTTGAAAAGTGTGGTTCTTTCCAAATACAGATTTGCTCCTTTCAAACAAACAAACAAAAAACAAAACCAACTTTTAATAGTGAATATATTATAAATTTATAAATTATAAATATGTCCCAGTTCAATTAAATTCTTAAGCTACTAGAGGTTCTGCATACCTATAATTCATCTATCTGTATGTTAAGTGAGTGGGTTTTGTACAACATAGAGGGTATGTATGTATATGTATCATCTTTTAAATTGAAGCCAGAGGGATTGGAGTTAGATATAAAGAAGAACTTTTCCACCGTGCTGTAAGATTTGTAGCCCAATGGCTTGAGTGGGAGATGATAACATCTCTTTTGGGGCGCTTTTAACTAAGGGGCTCAGTTGTTGTCCTTGTTTTACTCTGTAGACAACACCCTTGCCTGAAAAGAAAGACTGGATTCAGCTCAGTGTGTTTCAAATGTTAACATGCCACCTTCACCATTTTTACTAGCTTTGAGTGACACCTTTAGCAATGTTAAGACATTTCTTTCAATTGATTTATTCTTTTAACTTAAGCCTTTAGTCGGCTCAAGCAATGAAACATATTGTATCAGTGAAATTGGTTTGATGGGGCTGGGGGAGTGGGCTCAGTGGTAGAGTGCTCACCTAGCCCGTGTGAGGCCCTGGGTTCAATCCTCAAGCACCACATAAAAAAAAAATGAATAAATAAATAAAATAAAGGTATTACGTCCATCTACAACTACAAAAATAAACAATTTGTTTTTTTAAAAAAGACATTGGTTTGATGTGCTCTTTACATTTTATTGATAGACATTAAAATACACAACTATCAAAAATAACATTTACCTGTTGTGAAAGTTCTTTTGTTCTACAAAAGGATGGATGTTTAAATCTTAATCCCCAGTTTAAATCTTAATCCCTGCACATGGGGATTTACATGGAAATACGGTCTTTGCAGATGTCACCAAGTTGAGGTCACGCTGGATTAGGGTGGGCTTTACTCCAAAGACTGGGGTCTTTAAAAGAGGAAAATTTGGAGTCAGATATAACGCCCGGGGAGAACACAGGAGGGAGGCAGAGACTGGCATGCAGCATGCACCGCCAGGACGCTGAGGACTGGGGAGACCCCCAGAGGCCAGATGGAGGCAAGGAGGATCCTAGAACCTCTAGAGGTCGCTGCCCTTTTGATCTCAGACGTGTGGCCTCCAGAACTGTGAGAGCAAACCTCTGTTATTTAAAGCCACCTGCTTGGTCGCGATTTCTGCAGCCCTAGGAAATGCCCACCCCCTGTTCTACCTAAGGTCCGTACCCTGACCCACCAGTGGGAGGAGCTAACACGTGGGGGAGCGCTGGGCTGGATGCTCCGTGATCCTGCCCCAGGTCAGTCACACTCACACTCAGTTATGACGTAAGGGTTAGTGCTCCTCTTTATCAGTGTGAGAAGGTGCTGTGTGAGCCAGGTTTGAAGAGATCCATTCTGAAAGCCATCATGTCTGTGCATCTGAGCTGGCTGTTCATACCTGTCTATCCCAGAGCCAGAGTCTGGGGCGTGGTGGTTGGTCTCCGTGTTTGACACCTGGGCAGACTTTGGAATCGCTGGAGCACCGTTTGCCGGGTGGAGGGCTATTGCTGGATACACTCTGGGGTCGTTTTATCTTGTGATGAGTCCTTTTGGATTGTAGCCCAAATTGACTGGCTTTTATTACCTTTGTCTCGGCAGTTTTTAAACCAATCAGTGCATGTTCCTATGCTCCCCATTCCCACATTTTGTCCTAGGAGAATGGCCTTCCATCTGCATCTGTATTTTCCAACCATAGTGCTGAGTTATCCGCAATCTCTACCTTGAACTTTCAGAATTATGTAGGCATATTTAATACAGACTTAAAATATTAAATAAACTGAAAGTGTTTTTGTTAAATCTTTTTTCATTGTTTATCACAAGTCTACATGAAGGATTTGTAGGTAAGCCCCTTACAATACAAATTTCAATGCATCTTCTGTGTAAGGATAGGCTGACTATTAACACCAACCCAAATGTTTACTCAGTAAATATTTCTCAACATTTTTCTTATGTTACTCAGTAAATATTTCTCAGTAAATATTCCTACTCTAGGCCAAGTACCATGCCAGACCTTGCTGTGCTTCCTCACCTGTACCAAAGCATCTACCATATGGAACCTGGGAAGGATTGGTGACCCAGATTATGAGAACTTCATAAGGAAGGAAACTTAAGGACAGCCTTACTGCTTGCTGGCTTTAGAATGGTGCTGGCCTATAGTAGGTGCTCAATGAACATTAGTTTCCTTTCATGTCAATCCATTCCAGAAGCAGTTTGGTATATGGCTCGATAGCCAGTTCCTTTTTAGAGTCTTCATTCTGATGGCTTAGGACCCAAAGAGAGGAGATGCAGGAGAGGCCATCCAGACAGAAGTGCAAGTTCCAGGTCTCCAAAGACATCCTGCAGCACTTCGCTAGATGCACCACTAGCATCCACCCTTAGGCTCTCACCTCACTGGGTCCTAGTGCCCAAGCAATGCTGTCTCTTGGGATAGTATTCACAGCCTGAAGTCCATGAAGCACTGGGCTCCTGCCAACATCTTTTTTTTTTTTTAATAGCTTTTTGAAGTAATTCACACATACAACTTTCCCACTTAAGAATACAATTCAGGGGGCTGGGTTGTGGCTCAGCAGTAGAGCTCTTGCCTAGCATGTGTGAGGTCCTGGGTTCGATCCTCAGCACCACATGAAAATAAATAAAATAAAGGCATTCTGTTCAACAACAACTAAAAAAATTTTTTTAAAGAATACAATTTAATGGCTTTTGCCATATTCATAGAGATAGGTAGTCATCAGCTAACTCAACTAGAGAGCATTTTTATTACCTTGAAAAGAAGCCACATACTCTTTAACTATGTGCCCTACACCCTAACCCCAATCCCTAAGCAACACTAATCTCCTTTTTGTCTCTATAGATTGCCTATCCTGGACATTCCATATAAATCAAATCATGAGGTAGAATCACCATATGATCAAGCAATTGCACTCCTAGGTATACACTCTAAAAGAAATGCAAAGAAGTGTCTATACAAAAAACAGTATATGAATATTTATGACAGTATTATTCATGTTAGCCAAAAAGTGGAAACAACTCAAATGGCTATCAACTGATGAATGGGGGGGGGGAATGTGGCATTCTATACAATGGAATATTACTTGAGCACTAACAGGAATTAGTTACTGACACATGCTACAGTATGAATGAACCTGGAACACTATGCTAAGTGAAAGAAGCCAGCCATGAAAGATCACATATTAAATGATCTCATTTTCATATTGCTCAACCAAAGTGTATAGAAATACAATTGATTTTTACATGATGATTTTGTTTTCTGCGATCTTGTTGAACTGATGTGTTAGTTCCAATATTTTTTAATTAGATTCCTTAGCATTTGGTACGTACAAGAGATAGTTTTACTTTTTCATAGCAATCGAGAAGCCTTTAATTTCTCTTTCTTACCCAAGTTTCCTGGCTGGAACCTCCAGAATGATATTAATAAAAGTGTCAAGAATGGTCATCCTTGGCTTGTTCCCATTCTTAGGGGGACAGCATTCATTCTTTCACCATTAACTATGATGTCAGCTACAAGGTTTTGCAGATACCCTTTGTTAGGTGGAGGAAGTTCCCTGGTTTGTTGAGTGATTTTTATCTTGAAAGCATTTTGGATTTTGTCAAATATTTTTCTGCATCTCTTGGTATGATCGCGTAGTCTTTGCGTTGTTTCAGTTCTTCTGTTGAAATGGCTTATAACATTACTTGGGGATGTTAATCAACATTGCATCCCTAGGACAAATCCTTCTTGGTCAAGGTATATAAATAAATTGTTTTATGTGTGGCTGGGTTCCATTTTGCTAGTATTTTCTTTTGAGGATTTCCTTATCCACATAAATAAGATGTTGGTCTATAGTTTTCTTGGGATGTCCATCTGGTTTTGGCATCCGGGTAACACTGGCTTCATAGAATTGGTTAGAAAGTTATTCTTTCCTCTTTCACTTTTTGGAAGAATTCGTGAAGAATTGGCATTATTGCTTTTTTCCTTTCCATGTTGATAGAATTCACCTATAAAGTCATTTGGGCTTGATCATTCTTTGTGAAAAGTTTTCATTTTATTACTAATTCAATCTCTTTATATGCAGTATGTCTTTTCAGATTGCGTCTTTATTTTTGAGTCGGTTCCAATAGTTAATCCCTTCTACCTAAGTTACATAATTTACTGACACATGGTTATTCATGTATCCCTTAATAATTTTTATTTGTCTAAAATTGGTAGTAATATTTCCTTTTTCATTTCTGATTCTAGTAATTTGAGTTGTTGTTGTCTTCTCCCCTTTTTTGGGTCAATTTAGCTAAAGATTTGTTAATCCTAATGATCTTTGGAGGAATTGCTTTTGGCTTCATTATTTTATGAATGACTATTGGCTCGAATCTTTGTTATTTCCTTTTTTACTGCTTGCTTTAAATTTCATTTGCTCTTTTTTTCCTAGGGTCTTAAGACATTATTCATTTGAGATCTGCCTTGCTTTGAAATGTATTTATAGCAATGATTTTTATCTCTAAGCACTGCTTTAGCTGCATGCCCCCTGCACTGGGTTTTATTTCCCATCCAGTTCCATGTGTCTCCTCAACTGTGAGAAATTTGACTAGTTCTCCCAGTTCTCATTTTTTCAATACCTTCATTGTGGGAGAAATCCAAACATGGAGAAGACGTGCGGATCTTGTGGCCCCAATGTGTGTCTCCATTGTGATCTTGGAGTGTTGTCTTTTTGTTTCTGGTTGCATTTTGGGGGGGGGAATTTTAAGATCTATTTTGATGATGTTTAATATACAGATAATTATTGATGAGGCTATACAGATGTGATTTTGTGTGGGGTGGGAGAAACTAGAATAATTTCTTTTTTAATATTTATTTTTTAGTTGTAGTTGGACACAATATCTTTATTTATTTTTATGTGGTGCTAATGATCGAACCCAGGGTCTCCCACGTGCAAGGCAAGCGCTCTACTGCTGAGCCACACCACAGTCCCAAACTAGAATAATTTCTTCCTCTTTCTATCTCCATAATTTCTCAAGACTTTGTTTAAAAAAAAACCATAAAAAACAAAGAAATCACCTCTTGGGCCACAGATATAGATCATAGACAGTTTAACAGACTTCAAGGTTGAGCTTTAAAGGACTGGAAAGTCCTGATGGACTTGGGGAACGGATATTGGGGTCCCCAGACTCTTCAGGTCCTCCATCCCACTGCACATTAGACTGGTTCTTTGGCTCTCACATGCAGAGTCTGAGAAAGACCCTGGGTTGTCCAGATCAACATTTGTGTCCTTGATGTATTAGATCTGAGCATGTGGGGAGGAAGCACTATTAACCCATGTCACAACCCCAGCCAAAGCTGATTCTCCCAACTTTTGAGACACAGTGACTCCTGTTTGATCTATCCTGGGAATCCTGACCCCAGGAGGGGGGCAGTGGTGATGGACAAGAGGGGAGTGAGCAGGGAGAGGTGACCAGCCAGCAGAGACTACCAGATGGTAGGAAAGGGGGACAGAGGGTAATGCCAAGAGGCTTTGGTTTAGATTTCATTTCCAAGTCATCAGTAGCCAAGATAATAACTTTTCCCCTATAACCACGAAGGACACATCTCCCACTTGCTACTAAAATACGCTTTAAATGGCGAGGCCGCTGTCTCCATCTGCTGACAGTGTGCCATTTGGAATGAATCAGTGGGGTTCATTTCTCCTCTCCCACCCTCCCACATAGAGGTGACCCTGCTGCCAGGGCAGGCAGGGCTTGCCAGGAGCGAGGCTCAGGTGGCTTCCTGAACTGCTCTGATGTCTCTTCTCTGTGCTGCTTTCCCACTCAGCCAAGACGGTCACCACCGAAGAGTGCCTGGTGAGCCCCGTGGCCATGAACCGCTACAGTATGGACCCCTCCACCTCCTCCTTTGGCCACAGGGGCTCCTTGCCCACCCCCTCCTCACTCTACTGCAAGAGGCTGAACTCTGGAGATGGCCATTTTGGGGGAGGCCCTGCCACCACCACCAGTGGTCCCCATACCAGTCCTGTGTCCTCTGGAGGCCCCACAGCACCTGGACTGAGGCCCCCAGCCTCCAGCCCCAAGAGAAATGGGACCTCTCTTGAAGGAAACAGATGTGGTAATGTAATGCATGCGCTGGCTTTCCTATGGCTTTGCCTCCTCTGCTCTTGACCTGGGGACACATTCTGGCGGGGGAGGGAGGAGGACATAGCTGTTGGTACATGGGACCACTGAGAGATTAGAAGTTTCCAGAAGCCCCTTGGTGGATTTTTATTGTTCTCAAAGGTGACCAATCTCAATTTGACAATGGTGTTTTAGGACAGACTAGTCAGTGGCAATAGGTCGATTCCAAAATAAATATACGCCGGCTCAAAGGCCATCAAGGTTTTTGTTCAAGAGTCCAAGATGGCTGCTCTTAGTTGCTGTGTCCTTCTCAAGACAGGGACCCAGGCTCTGTCCATTCGGTGTCTCTTCCATTCCCTCCACCTGCAGGCCACAGGCATCTAGTGGATGACCAGGGACAAAGGGAGTGGAGAGGGCAGAGCCGGGGGAGGAGCCTGGAAGGGAGGCCCATCACTTCTGTTCACTTCCATTGACAAGAGCCGGTCATTTTGTCACGATAGACTGTGATGGAGTCTGAGAGCTGTAGCTTTGTGCCCAGGAAAAAGAAGAATCAGACTTTGGTAAAGAATTGTCTCTTTCATGGTAGGTGACACTTGCATAAATGGGCAGAAACAGACTTAAGCAAAATTCCCATGATTCTGGTTATTTTGCCACCTCTGTCGTGCCCTCTGAAGAAAGCTTGTTAAGATGCAATATGCTAAAAAAAAAAAAAAAGATGCAATATACTGGGCTGGGGCTGTAGCTCAGTGGTAGAGCGCTCATCTAGCACATGTGAGGCACTGGGTTCAATCCTCAGTACCACATAAAAATGAAGTAAGTCATTGTGTCCATGTACAACTACAGAAAAATATTAAAAAATATAGACACAATATGCCAAAGTGCTTGGAGGGATAGAGGATTACAGGGACAGCTCGGAGGCCCTGATGTTTCACAAAATCATTTTCAGCCTTCAGTATTTCATGAACAAATAGAGGCCATAGAGCAGGTGGATAATCTCAAGGACACAAGTCGGAGAGGCTGGGCTGGAATCCTGGGTCTGCTGCTTTCTGTCTTCTCTGTGCCTCAGTTTCCTTATTTGTAAAATTGGATTAATAATAATAATAATAATAATAATAGCACCTACCTCTTAGAATTACTGGGAGGATTCATTAAATTCATATGTGTATTTAGTACAAGTCCTAGGCTCAGTAAGAGGCCAATAAATTTAGTGGCCAAAGAGCCCTTGAACAAATCCCTCAAGAGACCACAGCCATCAACTCTACAGCTGAGAAGTGCAGAAGAAAGAAGGCCCCAGGCCAAGGAGGCGGGGAGTCTTCCTCTTGCCCCTCTGCGGCTGCCCTAGGTGTGGTTTGTGGCTGTTGTTTGTGGCCAGACACATTTCTCCTCTGGCCGTGCATCACTCCACCGATGGCTGCCATGAGCCACACACGTGAGCCACTTTGCATAATTCAAGATCCCCCACGCCCTCCCGTCAAGGAACCTCTCCCACCCCGGACTAGCAGAGCCCAGCACAGGACTGCCCTGGCAGAATCAGAGGTGAGCAGCGCCCTGGGGGCAGCAGTGGTTCTGAGAGGCAGAGCACAGACCCTCTACCATGGAGGTTCTTGCCATAGAGGACCCCTGCAGACCACTGCCTGACAATGTCACCCAGAGCCATGGGCCAGGCAGAAGGTTTAAGTGGGGAGAGCCCCATTTTCCAAAGGAGAGAGACAATGTTCCATTTCTAAAATTTGTAAGAACAAGAGAAAGGAACAAGATCTGGGGAACACCGTCTTAAAATGAATGAAGAGCAGCCATAGGTTTGCCCCTAGAGATGGCATAATACCTGGCACATAGGAGACAGTCAATAAATGTTCATTGTCTCTGCCCTCATGGTACCCCTGATTGTCAAAACCCTCATTCTGGTGTCCCTCTGCCCTTTAAATGTTTCCTTCTCTCCTCCTTTTCTCCTCAACTCCATTCCCATTTTCTTGAGATGGTAATCACAGGACACCCTGCTAAATGAATTTATCCTAATCCTTGGAGTATTGCTACTTCTTGAAAAAGGAGATAGGTACTCTGTCTGCCACTCACATTGATGAAATCTCAGGCCCTGTCATAAATGCAGAGTTCCAAGCAATGACAGGGAGGCACAGTTTGGTTAGAGAGAACTTCTGTCACTCCCTCAAGAATTGTGGGCTCCATCTCAGTCCACCTGGTGACGCTGGATTCAGAGAATTCAGGTTCCTTCAAGAGTCTCAGAGTAGCTCCCCTTCCCCCAGCCCCTCAGTGCCTCCTTCTAGTTGGGCCTGGGATGACCTCCTTCTTCATCTCACCCCCAGTCTCCCAGCTATTTGTTCTCCTGGAATTAGACCCTGATTGAGTAATCTCAACAGGCAGCTACTGGAGGAGAAGCCCTGACCCTCCCTCTGGACCTGGCTCTTGGAACACCCGCTCTCCACGGGATCCCCATCTGTATCCAGGAGAGCCCCACAAGCTCAGGACTTCTCTCTCTCAAGGTCTTAGTGAGATTGGAGAGAGAGAGAGAGAGAGAGAGAGAGAGAGAGAGAGAGAGAGAGAGCCCACCAGTTCCTGCTGCTTTCCACTCTGCAAACCCATAATTGCATCCTGAATACAGGTGCATCCTTTTTGCAATTTAGAAATATTACCAAGATCCTTTCTTGAGACCCTGGACATCAGAGTTGTTCACCAATAACAACTGCCCCTGGATGGAACAGTTGAAGGGACACTTTGTGAAGCACTGGGGATATGAACCCCTTCCATGCTCAAAGATTCCACTGAGCCACGGCCTTCTGCAGGGTGCTAATGAAACTACCAGAAAAAAACCACTCAGCCATGCAGTACCAGCAATGAGATGGAGAAAGTGGGCCAGGGGGAGGGAGGCAGAGGGCAATGCCAAGAGTCTCCAAATTCACTTTCCACTCTGTTCACATTTCATTGGCCAGAACTTACAGAGCCACTAGCTGCAAGGGATGCTAGGAAGTGTGGTTTCTATTCCAGGCAACCATGATTCAGATGGAAATCGAAGATTCTATTACAAAGGAAGACGTGGGGAAAAGATATTGGATAGGCAATTGGCAGTGTCAGCAACACCTGATTAGAAATGTTCATTTCCTCCATTTTTCCTCCCGTGGCACTTTGTTTTATCACGTGTAGTTCATATTCTGTCCTGCCCATGGTAGAGACCAGACCCTCAGCTTCGCAAAGTCTCTCAATAATTTTTTAATTCCTATGAACCCCAGCAAAGCATGGCTTGTTAGAGGCTATTTATTGGGCACCTATTCTAAGCCATTTTCCACACACTATTTAAGATTTATTGGCAATTATGTTTATAATTTATTATTGTTAAGTAATTAATTTTATGATATCCAACTTAGTGAGGCTCAAGAGGTCAATCAGTTGTTGGGCCATTGACTTCAACAGATTTCAAATTTTGTGTCTTTTAAAACTGCCCCAGGAATCTCTCAACTGCCCTGAGGGTTTCAAGGATTCCTTCTGAAATTCTAGAGGATGGAGAAGAAGGGACAAGAGCATTCAGATCTCCAGGCCCCCTACCCCTCTCTTTAACCAGGGCCTCTTCACATTTGCAGAGCAGGTTTCTATGAGTGCTTTGCTTGAACAAAATTTGCATAGCTAAAAATGTTCAGAAACCAAGAAATTTCACCATGTTGAATCAAGTGGCAGTTTAATGAAACTACCAGAAAACTACCACCCGTCTTCTCACACATACCCCACCTACTCTTCAGCCTGGACCCCGACGGGGTGTCCTCCAGAGGCTTATTAAGGTTTTCTCTTGCTCAAAGTACTGTTCAGCATCGCTCTGAAATTGCATCCCAAGTGAACTCAGTAGGCATCAGGAAACCATATCTCTTTCAGAAGGTTTAACCCAAGTCCTTTAACCCTGGAAGAAACCTAGAAATGGATTTTCTCCCTATGGTGCTAATCAAAATGGTTTAAAACCACAGAAGCCAGAAAACTGCATGAGGCTGCAGGCAGGAGGGGGGGTATCGATGACATGACAAATTTCTCAGCCTCCTTCCCTCTCTTGTGAATACTTACGCCGGCCTCCTGTTGCCTTGATGTATCTGCCTACCTCTGCTGCCAGCGGGCTCCGAAGGTGCATGTGCATGGGGCACGTTTCCCTGGTACATGCTGAGTCTCGGGTGAATCTTTGGGAGCTCTTCCCTGTCTCTTAGCCAAGATCCCATCACTAAGAGCTCTAAAGAGGTTTCAGATAGCAAAAGCTGTCTGACTTTTTTATTTAACAGAACATGCTATAGAACTCCCAGCCCCAACTTGGTCCAAGATTCAGAATCAAGAAACAAAATACATCTGACATTGTTATCGCAGCCCAAATGCTTCCTGTGGGTTGGGTTTTGCTTCCACGGCATTGGGTGAATATGTTTGTCAGCTCTTCATCGCTGTGACAAATACCTGAGGAAATCAACTTATTGGAAGAAAGATTTATCCTGGCTCGTGGCTTCAGAGATTTCAGTCTGTAGTCAGTGGGCTCCATCGCTCGGGCCTGAGGTGAGGGAGAACAGCAAGGCAGAGAATGTAGCCAATTAGAGCTGCTCAGCTCATGGCAGCCCAGAAGCGGAGAGCAAGAGGAAGCAGCAAAGGATAAGATCTGCTTTTCCAGGGCACAGCCCAGTGGTCACTGTTTCCTCCAGCCAGGCCCTCCCTCCTACAGTTTCCACCATCTCCTAATAATGTTATCCAATTATTAATCCACCAGTGGATGAATTCCTCGATGAGGTCAGAGCCCTCAGAGGACAATCATTTCCCAGATTCTCCACCTCTCAACACGGCTGCTACTGAGGAACCAAGCCTTTGACACATGAGACTTTAGAGAACATTCCAGAGCCAAACCACAACAGTGAGCAAAAGAAACAATTCAGCTAGAAAGAGAAGAATGAGGGCGCTTGATGTGAGGGGGTGGAGGACAAAAGGGTGGGAAGGGCTCATTCATTCTGGGGAAAGAAAAGAATTTGT